AGGGAAAGGTGTCCCCGCCGTGGCGGCAAAGCCGGGTTTGGAGCAGTTGTTGCCAAAGGATTTTGTTTCCAAGTCCTTGTTTGACCGCTCCGGTCTTTTTTTGACCATTTGGCTGCCAAAGTCTCGCGATGCTGGAGGATCTGCGCGACTCATCCCAAACTATCCTCTCGTGCCCGCTATTACGCAGCTGGAGTCCTAACAGCCGGCCAGAGAGTAGTTCGCATTCGGAATCTTTGATAAGTTTTGACCTGTAATTTAGTTTTGATTATTTTTTTAATCAATCAAATCTAATTAGTAATTAAATTTTACTTGCTCCGCTTAAGCCTCATCTTGGAGCAAGCCTCACCGAGTGGCTGGTATTGGCCCTTGATGTATGTAAAATGGAAACCTCTGGTGCTTTCAGCTATTATGAACCGCTTAATTATTTAATTTACTTACCTGGAAAGAGTTGAGTGCTCCCGCAGACTCTCAGCTGTAGTTGGAGAGTTAATGGTGCGTGAATAGACAGGGTTGCTACAAGCAGAGTCCAATGTCAACAGGCCTTATATTCTTGATTTGTGTAACACGGGCATTGCTCCTACGATAGGTCGTGTTCCAACGTAAGACTGCCGCAACGAAATTGCACCTGTGCCAAATGGGGGGTTCATTCTGTGAAGCAGTAAGGAAATAAAGATTCCACAGCTCGCCAGTAAATCCACACCCGGCATTCGGGATGACTCGAGTACGAAACTAGTGGTTCAGTTCAATTCCAGCTTTGCCAATGTTGGGCCGAACATTTGCGGGGGTCATGGGGATCTAAGACTCCGTGACAAGAGTAAATGGTAGCGTATGGATTTCGCAGTCAGACATCGAAGCTGTGCGGGCGCGCTGTGACTGCTGATATTGTCGTGAGCAGAGTTGGTTGGCTTCACTTCGGAGGGTACGGGGAGAGGCTAGGTAGTCCGGGGTCATACATCGTGGTCTTGTATCAAATCATCCATATTAGATGAATTTTCCAAATCTTCTCGGCAACAGCAATGGTTGACATTGTAGATGGCCCAAATGAGAATCGTGAGATGGCCTTCATTTAGCATATCAGCGCTGCCAGCAATGAGTGGAATCATATTGCGTATTACCGAGCCTTTAGAATCAGTCTTATTCTTCCGTTTAAAGTCACCAAATGTAGCGTCTGAAACGCGCGATGGTGATAAAGAGGCTCTAGCGGCTGACAGATGTTGTCTAATACTATCCATATCAGAAGGCTCTGGGGTTGACGGGCCGTCTTGAAGTTCATATTCGTCTTGGTAAATATTGTCATCGATAAGATGTTGTTCAAGGTTGTCGTCGTATGCGGATGACCGCCTAGTTGCTGAAGAAAGGCTTGTCGCACGACTGTGGTCACTGACTTTGCGACGAGACGGAGGATAGAAGTCATGTTATAGGGTAGGGAACAACAGAGGGTTCTGGCTGCTATGGCAGGATGAGTCTATATGACACCAGAATCTCAACGGTTATTGTCAATCTTACCGTTCCAAGATGGCCAAGATCTGGCCCGCCGTGTCTTGCAAATGCAGCAATATCTCCAGATGATACGCCAACGAATTCCATACCTTTTGGAGGATGATGCCCTGGTCGATTGTTCCGTCGATCGAGTTCTCGCAAGGCACGAGAGAGGTGGATCTTTGTCAAATCATCCCAAAAGCAAGGCGAGAAGTTGGAGACACCACGACAACCTGTCCTCGGCTTCTTTGGAATAACATGGCCTTGCTAGAGATGGTCTGCAATTCCCCTTTTTCCATTTTGTCCACTCGCCATAAGCGACGAAGATAGGGTGGGAAGAATAAATTGTCAAGAGGGCGGCCACGTCTGCGGTCAGCGGCCTTCATAGGCGCCAGAGAATCTGCCCGTGGCTCACGATTAGCGGAGAGCATATCGTATTTCAATGCAGAGGAAGCTCGTTTTGCGAGTGGAAGCCATTCGGCCAGCCATTAGCCGCCTATCAGGGACTGGCCGAACATGTGCAAGATGCCATCATATGAATGCAGGCTGCGTGCTGAAGCGGGAATGAGAAGTCCCAAATGGGGAGAGTTTATCCTGTGGCTTAGACACCAGACCCGATAAGTTATTACAGGGTAATTCAGTACCCCGTAACTCCGTAGAAGCTATCCTATCTGTATGGTCGCGCCTTTATGAGTCAGCTAGTTTTGATACAGATATTTTGATGAACTCTGCTTAGATATATCTATTAATTAAATAGGCTATCAAATAAATATTATCCTGTGGTGCAGATTGATAAATCTGGTGGGGTTCGAGCGGTGTTTAGGCTTGGATGCGGCGTATGCGTTGTTCTGGTCATTTTGCTACTTCGAACTTCCGCAACCCATTGCGCAAGATTTGTTTGATAGAAAAATTAATGTTGTTTTATGCTGATATATTTTTGTTTGGTCAGTCACACAAAATAGAGGGGTAAACACACACGCACACAAAATGAATAAGTTGTGGCGTGGCCACGCCCCAGGTGCCATTTTGACATCCTCAGCGCCACCCCATCTTCATCCTCACACATTCCATACACGTCACCATAGAGTCGCAGACGCTGTCGCAGATTTGCTATTTGGGTCTGAGCGGAAAACTAGACCTTAATCTCGACTTTTACGCGCCCGGCTGGACTCGGCCGGTAAAGGACCTTCGCCAGCCGTCGGCCGCTCCAATGTCGATGCTTTTCTGGCCACACTCTCCCCCTGGGATCTCCTGTATCTTCGCGGCAAGTTTCGCAGCGGCGGCATCCCCGTTACTGGTCTGGCTGGACTACCAGATCTGCCCGCCGAGATACTCTCCTTGATCGTCATACAGCTCACGCTAGACGACATTGCGAACTGCCGGCTGGTGAGTCGCGACTGGTACTCGTCGTGGACCCAAGGAGCCGTCATCACAGCACTGAGTCATTTCTTCTTCCCCGGCCTCATAGAGAAGCATAAACAGCTCGGCAACCCTCAATCACCACAGAAACTTGTCCAGGCGTCCATGGCAAAGGCCCTTCGAAGACGGCACGCCCGGCCAAGCCGCTCATCCTTCATCCTCTGGAGAGAGCGACACTGTCCGGTGTTCAAAAGGCCCGGAGAAGAAGCAGAAGAGCCTTTGAATCGTTGTCGCTTATCTTTTATGTCAGAGGGACCGGGTGCTTTCTACGACAGGGGCCGCCTGGCATGGCAGGCAAACGATCTCAAGATTGTCGTGGACGATTTGCGCACATGTGAACGCCACGACTGTAGCTTGACAGAAATGCATCTTCGGGGCCAAAACTTGATGATTCAGGGAATGTCGCGTGAGCTTCTCGTGTTTGTTGCGAAGCGAGGTGGCGCTGGATCCAACTACAATACGATGTGAGCGCGAGACAGCCCACCTATTGTGCCGGTCTACTAACTTCGTCTAGGCAAATATGGCACACCGATCTGAAAGACTGGAGGCGTGTTACGCTACCTGGCCCTTTTGCTAGATGTTTTGTCCAAGGCGAGCGAGTAGCATTCGTCACAAGACAACATTTGGTGGTAGCTTGGTCCTGGAAGGGCGGGGCTACCGAGATCGACGTATCTGGGGAGATGAATCGGCCGCCCGAGGACTATGAAGGCCCGAGGTCACGCCCTGGTGTGATATTGCACCCCGAGAAACTAGACACGTTATATGTGGCGTCTATGTTTGGGTCAAAACTGGGTAAGTCGGCCCGCCTTCCCCCAAACTTTGTCTTTCTGCACTTTGACGCCAACACTGCCACCTAGATTCCGGCGGAATTGGACAATCTCAGAAACGCCGCTTTTTGATGTCTGTGGTTCGCTACGAAGGTGGTCAACCAACCAAAAGATGGCAGGAACTCGTCCAGGAAGACTCGCTAAGCAACACTTACGACGACCACGACTCCATACAATTTCCCTTCCAGGTCACACTGCCATGTTCGAAAATGGGCCCCAATGGGCTATACAATCTCGGCACAGTACTTACGGCCAGCGATTTGGGAATTGACCCTGTACAAATCGTAGAACTCGCGACTACAGCATTCAACGTCTACAAGGAGTCATTCATACAGCGCAAGTTTGTGGAAAGCGGTGGAAATGGCATCATCAACCGGTTGCAGTTACACTATGAGCCGTCGCTATTTGGCCCATGCGATCAGGAGGAGCTGCTGACGACATGGTCACAGGAGCACGCTTCCATCCCTCGGTTGGTGCATTTGGACTCTGCAGATCGACGACCAGACCCTGATAAGGTGGCGGCGGATGATGTCGTCTTGTTTCTGAAGGAATTGGATAAGTGCGTGCCAGTGTCGGAGCATTGCTGGATATTGGGCGACGAAGACTTTCAGATACACGTCACGTCGCAGGGTATCTTGGTGTGGTCATTTACCGAGGAGACGAGGTTGCCGGTTATGAATGGTCCAAGGAGCCTGGAGGGACCTCAAGGCTGACTGATCCTATACCGCCAACTTATTTTGAGCCGTTTGCGGGGCGATTCACTTATTAATATGTCAATTCAGTATCCACAGGGCCCCGGGTAGCAGCTGGTGACGTCAAGTGACATTAAAAATAGCGAAGATTATAGCGTTTATGATATAGCGTTTTGTAACCTAGATTTTTATGGGTACTTATATTATCATATAAAATGTTCAGGGATTCAGGTACCATGTAAAATTAAGCTTTTAATTGGGTGCTCATCCCCGCAGCTACATAATTGTAGTCTTCGCTGCCTTGCCAACATGAACCCCACAGATGTCAGCATCGAGACTGACGAGCATTTGAGGGTACAGCGCCCGGAATGGGTCCCGCTTTGGTGCCCGTCGGGCCATTTTAGGGAGGTGCTTAGCTGCGCATCTCCTTGTGTGTCCCGGAATATGGCGAACATGAAGTGTCAAGTGCCAATTGCTTGATTGCACGTGACTTGCGGACGTTGGACCAGCCGGGTGGGACCTGTACAGTGGGTCGTAGGTAATTTCGAGCAAAGCCCCATTTTACACTAAAACTCATATATTTTATTATTAATTATTAAGCTTAATAATATACTTAAAAAGGTTTTTAAAATTTAAATAAATTATTCATAATGAATTATTTATCACTTAAAATTTATATAAATAGTTTCTATTTATTTTTTATTATTTTATTTACTTACTTATAAAGCTTTAAAAATATTAGAAGTACTTTTACTAATAAATTTCTTAGTAAAAGTACTTTTATTAAGTTTAAAGCTTTATATTATATTAAATAATAAAGATTAATATAAAAAAATAGTATATATATAATCTTTAAGTAATTTTAAATATAAAGATATTTTCTTTTATTTAATATAATAAAATATAATATAATTATAAGCACTTAAAAAGTAAGAGTTTTGGTGTAAAATAGGGCTAAACTCGGAATTACCTGTACCCACTGTAGGTAGGGACCCAGGACCCAGTACCCAGTACCCAGTACCCAAGCGGGTTGCGTCGTCAAGTACGTAACACGGCGAGCAACTGATTGATACGACCCTGTGCCGTCTCGAGCTCGGCCAATGCCGTTCAATATTGTAGAAGCATTCCTGCCCGAACTGGAAGAGTCACCTTTTCCCCTGCCAAGCCGCTGTCCCTTGGCCGCGTCGGCCCATCTCCGAGGGCATCGAAGGCGCCTTGAGGTTGCATCCAGCCGAGTCAATGTATGTAGTTCCAAACGCAAGTCGGTACGATCCTCCAGCCTTAGGCTTGGACCATATTGGCGGTTGTTGTTGGATCAATGGGGGTCTGACGATAATCGCATTCACCCCACAGGCGGATCGGCCGCGTACATGAAATCTTTGGCCACCAAGCGCAGATTTCATCGTATCCCTAGATTTTACATGGGATACGAAGATTTCAATGCCGTGGCGAGTTGCTGCAGGCCGCGTCCCGTTGGTACATATATCAAAATATGCCCCTCTCACAAGGGAGCCGTGAAGGAGACTATCCCGCGTCTTGAGCTGGTTGCTGACGCTCGACCTGGCTGCCATGCCGTGCTACGTTGCAATGGGAGCATTGTATCAGCGCCTGGCGTTCCCAAGCTCGAGCGCCAGCACACTCATCGGTTGGCAGATACTACTCGGCTTTGCGGTCGACAGCTCGACGGCTTTCGCCTCGGCCTTCTTCTCCAAGTCGCGGGTATCCGCCGTGTACATCATCTTTGTCTTTCTCGTTCTGTCCATTGCCGCACAATTATAAATATTTTATTTAATTTTATTTTATTTATTATATATATATTTTATATGAGGTAGCCTGTCTTAGTAAGTGGCTCGTCTTGCTGTCTAGCACCACCTTTAGGTGGTGAGTGAAACGAGACGCCTAAAATAGTGGGGCGGGCACGAGTACCAGGAGAGTTCTCCACGTTTGGTAGTGCAGCTGGCAGACCTATAACAGGACAAACCAGTATCACACTCCTGCCCCAGAGCATTGACGCGGTCTAGCTTTTCGTTTTCCCGTCGGCGCCACGGAAGACTTTGGAATGATCAATGCCTACGTAAGCGGCTTGTACTCGGCAAAGAAGCCGTAGAGGTGAGGGGCAGCTTTACCATGAAACCAAGTCAACTCCGATTACGTGACATTTGCTGGCCAGCACATCAATCATCAACAGGCCCCTTGATAGTCACCCGCGTTCCCTCCATGGCACCTCAAGCTCCTTGACCCAAGCGCTCAGCCGCTGCCAGTGTGACCTAATCTGGTCCACTCGGTGCCACTTCTCCAAGGTCATGCAGCCTCCCCGTGGCCTCCCCACCAGTGCCATCTCGAGCTTCCGTTATCGCAGCCCAGTCCAACATCCAGTCACCCTAATTGCTTGCACATCCCCTGTGCAGTGTCTCTCTGTTTTTCCATCTCCCCTTTTCTCAACGGCATAAACACGAAACATTGAAAGTCTCCTTACTCTACTGCGAACGTTTCCAACGGCGGCCGTCATCGGTGTTATCGGAGACGATGACGATGCTCACGTCCTCATCTTCCGATGCCCTCAACCGCGCCGCCCCAACCCCCATCGCCCGAGTCATAGATAGCGAAGCGTCATCAACCATCAGCGCCTATGACGACGACGACAGCTTCGACCAGGAGTCGGCCCAGCGCCGCCGCCTACTCTGCCAGAAACAAGTTGTGCGCATCACCTCCCTGATATTCGCCACCTGTGCTGCCCTCTGTGCCGGCTCCATTGTCGTGTTCTCGCTATACGCCCCGCGATTCCAGTCCCGCCTACGGTACACCCAGTTCCAGGTCAATGGCGTCGCCATCGCAGGCTCCGTGGCCATGTACCTCCCCATCTCCGTCGTGGGGTACGTATGCGACCGCGTTGGTGTTGCACCGCTCTCGCTCTTGTCAGCCGTCTTATTCGGAACCGGCTACGGTACTGCCGCCGCGATATACCGAAAGCTCGATGTCGACTACAACGTCCTCGGGAAGCCGCATGGCGTGGGAAATGAATGGTCGTACCCGGCCATGATCTTCGCCTTTGTGTGCGTCGGCTCAGCGACCTGCAGCATGTACATGGCTTCGGTGTCGACATGCGCAAAGAACTTTGGCAAGGGCAAATACAGAGGGCTGGCTCTGGCCATGCCCATCGCAGGATTTGGCCTGAGCGGCATGTGGTTGAGCCAATTCGGGAGCCGCTTCTTGTACGAAACGAAACCCGACGGGTCCAGGGGCGATATTGACGTATTTCGCTTCTTCCTCTTCCTGGCCATTTTGCTCTCCGTCATGGGCTTCCTCGGCTTCTTCTTGCTGCGTGTCGTCGATGAGCAGGACCTCATCGAAGAAGCCATCGAGGAACTGGAATCGAGCGGTCTGCTCAATGGCAGCACGCTTCTCGGCCGGGCACAGCCGGGCTACGGCTCAGCCGCTTCCGTGGGCAACCAGGCAAACGCAGAATCCGGCCCCTTGCTAGACCCATCAAAGGACGATGACGCGCTGTGGAAAAAGAATCGGGTTCTCAACGTGGAGACGCTTCAGTTTCTCACAGACCGTACTATGTGGCAATTCGCCCTGGGCTTTTTGCTCATGATTGGTCCTGCGGAAGCCTTCATCAACAACCTTGGAACCGTCATCGGCACCCTGACGCCTCCCGAAACTGAGGGCTTTGGCAAGACGACCTCGGTCGCTACACACGTCTCCATCTTTGGTGTCACCAGCACCATTTCACGACTACTCATCGGCAGCCTTACCGACTTGCTTGCTCCCGCCCCGGAGACGCAACACCTCCAGCTCTCCTCCTCCCACCACAGCATCCACCAGTCTTCGCGGCTCCAACGCCTCACCATTTCTCGCGTCACGTTCATCCTCTTCTTCGCAATGCTCATGTCTGTAGGCTTCATATTTCTCGCCTCCGGGGTTGTGCAGAATCATGCCGACCGCTTCTGGGTTGTTTCTGGTCTAGTAGGAGCTGGCTATGGTGCCGTCTTTAGCTTGTCGCCTCTGATTGTCACCATTATTTGGGGCGTAGAGAACTTTGCCACCAACTTTGGCATAATCGCCATGTTGCCAGCTCTGGGGTCGACCTTTTGGGGGCTCATTTACTCGGGTATCTACCAGGCGGGCGCCAAGGGGTCCTCGCCACCGTCCGATGGCACGGGCGACGATTTGTTTTGTTACGGCAAACATTGCTACTCGGCGACATTTTGGGCCGCGGGAATATGTGTCTGGCTGGGGTGTGTGTCGGTGTTGTTTGCATGGAAAGGTAGAGGTGGTTGGAAAGAACGGGAGATTGTTATTTGAGAATCAATTTTTTTCTCCCTTTATTTCTTTTTGGGGGGAATCAGCAACATGTACGGAGTAAAGCGCCTAGAGATACTGCGTCACATGTACGGAGTATGCCGCATCATTTTTTCACGTGGAGTTTGGCCGGAAATTTTAATCTGAGCATTTCTGCCTTGACGAATCATTGCTGCGTAAAAGTAGCAGCTTGTTATTGACCCGGGATGCTATCCCAGTCGGCAAAATTAACCTACGGCTGCCCCTTGTCAACCATCTAGGTCCCCAACTCAAGTAGTCCGGCTATTGAGCAGCGACAAGGGTCATTTCCCGCTTTGCGAAATAGCCAGGATGTTGCTAAGCATCTTTCATACGAGCTCAAGTGGAAGTAACGTGTCGATTTCATGCTTGGACAACGGCATCTTTGACCCGAGCAGGAACGAAGTTTGCCGTTTGGAAGTCCGTGTCGGCGATCCTGATCTGCATTCGTTGGCCATCCGATCATGGTTACGAAATTCCTCCATGTCTGGCCCAAGCCGACGGCTATGCTGCAAATGGAGCCAAGTCGCGAGTCATATCTCAGGGCGGAGCCGAGATGATGGTCGTAGTGGGCTCCTTTGCCCGTCGGCCGTGATGGGACCTTCTCTGGCCGCTCAGCCCTACGGGGAAATGGCCGGAGAGATTGCATGAAATATGCCAGATGAATGAAATGAGGTGGAGTTTTTTAAAGAAACAAG